ATGGCTCAAGTGGTAGAGCACTAGTCTTGATCAAAAAAGCTCAGAGAGGGGTTGGGAATGTAGCTTAGTGGTAGAGTGCTAGCCTAGCATGCATGAAGCTCTGGGTTTGATTCCTCAGTACCACATAAAAAGCCAGAAGTGGCACTGTGGTTCAAGTGGTAGAGTGCTAGCCTTGAGCAAAATAGTGCCTAGATCCTAGATCCTTGTTCAAGCCCCCAAGATGGCTACAAAAAAAGAAAAATAAAAAAGAAATAGAGACATATTCATTTGTTTTTATTAGGACAGTAACACAATGAAACAAAAATTTAGTGAGATTAGCCTGGCTGAAGAATTCAGGATAAAGCTATGGGGAAGAGAAAGAAAAAATAAAAAACACAGCAGCCCATGAAGTAGTGGCTAAAAGCCGGGCTTTATATTCAGGCAATCAACTTTGCTACTTGCTAGCTGTGAACCATTACTTAAAAGTGAGATAATAATAGTGTCTACTTTATAAGGTAGTTGTGCAGCTCAAAGGAATAGTACATATGAAAATATAACACAGTGGTTGGTCAGTGATAATTACTCAACAAATATTAGCGACTATTACCTTCATTACAGATAATTTCAAATGTGAGGTAATAAAGAACTAAATAAGAGCAACAGAAACTTAGAACGAAAGACAACTTTCAATGGTACCGCCATGAACTCATGAAATAAGTAGGAAAAACCCTAGGCAACACTTAACAAAAACAAAATGCAAAGCCCCAAGTTTGAAAGTTGGCAATTAAGAAAACAATGGAATAAAAATAGCTCAAAAGTTTTCACTGGCGGGGCACTAGTGACTCACACCTGTAATCCTAGATACTAAGGAGGCTGAGATCTGAGGATCAGGGTTCAAAGCCAGCCTGGCAGGAAAGGCTGTGAGACTCTTATCTCCAGTAAACTATCAGAAAACCAGAAGTGGCACTGTGGCTCAAGTGGCAGAGTGCTAGCCTTGAGCTGAAGAGCTGAGGGACAATGTCCAGGCCCAGAGTACAAGCCCCATGACCGACAAAAAAATAAAAAAACAGAAGTTTTGACTGTAAGAAAACTAATACTCAGAGAGGTAAACATGAGATAATTATATGTTATCAATAATAATTTTAAAGTACGTGACAATATATTAGGCACATGTCTTATGCCAAATACTCTGCTAGATACTGGCATAGTACATTTGTAAGGCAGGTATTAGCTTGATTTTACTGAAAAGAAAAAGGATGCTCAAAGAAGTTAGGTACTGGCCATATAATCTTGGGCATGGAAAAAGCAAAGCTAGTATTAGAACCTGTATCATCTATTTCTTTCATTTTATTTGATTTTATTGGCTTTGTTTTTGAGATAGGGTCTCAATGTATAGCTCAGGATGGCCTTATAGTTTTGATCCTCCTGCCCCAACTTCCTGAGTGCTTTGAGACTATAACTGTGTACCACTATACTCAGCTTCATATCACCTATTTTTTGTTCTTTCTACTCACTCAGGCTGCTTCCTCTTTTAAGACTAATACAAAATTATGTCATATCACATAGACATATTTGTAATTTCTTTTCTACACACCTATGGCAACCATAAACATGTCTTATCTTTTCTACCTACATTCTAAGAAAAAATTATAAGGTATTTACCCTCAAAACATTGATGAGAAAGTTAAGAAGCATCAAGTAAGCAGAGGGTTAGTGTCTCACACTTACAATCCTAGCTATTCTGGAGGCTGAGATCTAAGGATTGTGGTTCAAAGCCAACCTGGGCGGTTAAGTTTATGAGACTTTTATCTCCAATTAAAGCCAGAAGTGGTGCTGTGACTCAAGTGGTAGAGTGCTAGCCTTGAGCAAAAGACGCTCAGGGACAATGCCCAGGCCTGAGTTCAAGCCCCAGGACTAGAACCAAAAAGAAAGAAAGAAAGAAAAAGTGTGTGTGTGTGTGTGTGCGCGCGCCATATCCTGAGTTCAAGGCCCAGGAACAGCACAAAAAAGAAAGAAAAGAGAGAGAGAGAAGCTACGCACCGGTGGCTCATGCCTGTAATCTTAGCTACTCGGGAGGCTGAGATCTGAGGATCAAGGTCCAAAGCCAGCCAAGGCAGGAAAAGTCTGTGAGACTCTGATCTCCAATAAACCACCAGAAAATGGGAAGTGGTATTGTGGCTCAAGTGGTAGAACACTAGCATTGAGCTAAAGAGCTGAGGGACAGCGTTCAGGCCCAGAGTTCAAGCCCCATGACCGACAAAGAGAGAGAGACAGAGGGGAGAGAGAGAGAGGAATAAAGAATGAAAGAGAAAGTCAGATGTCAGGGGCTCATGCCTATAATCCTAGCTACTCAGGAGGCTGAGATTTGAGGATTGTGATTGGAAGCCACCCTGGACAAGAAAATCTATGAGACTTTCTAATCTCCAATTAACCCACAGAAAACTGGAAGTAGTGTGTTGGCTCAAAGTGGTAGGGCACTAGCCTTGAGTGCCCAGGCCCAGAGTTAAGCCCCAGGACTGACTGGCAAAAAAAAAAAAAAAAGCTTTACCATTGGAAGATAAATAACCAAATAGTACTTTAACATTTCTTTTTTTTTTTTTTTTTTTTTTTTTGGGGGGGGGGGGGGAGTGGTCCAGTCGTGGGCCTGAACTCTGGGCCTGGGCGCTGTCCCTCAGCTCTTCAGCTCAAGGCTGGCACTCTACCACTTGAGTCACAGCGCCACTTCCAGCAGGGCTTCATGCATGCAAGGCAAGCACTCTACCACTGAGCCACCTTCCTAGCCCTGGTACTTTAACATTTCTGTAGACTGGACAGAGCAGAAATAGGAAAACTTAGTGAACTATTACACCAGTCTAGGCAGAAGACAATAAAAAGCTTGAGATGGGAAAAGTCAGATAAAAAACATGCTGTAACCACTTCACTGATAATTTACTGTTTTAAAGATTTCAGACTAATTTATCATACAAGAAAAGGCTGGCATTCACATTATTTCCATTTAAAAAATTCATTTCATAAGCAATGCTTCAGCATATTCAAGTGTGGTCTCTTTTTGAAAAGCTATTAACTAATCATATTCTATGCAGTAAGAATAGAAAGATAATAAAAAATAGCTTATACATATTTTCAATATTCTGAGTAGAAACTCAATATATAAAATTTCATTTAATGATGGCATTTTAAACTCAAAAGTTTTTCCCCATGTAAAATAGTTTAGATTATAATTTTCTATGCTACCTTATACAACCCACATCTTTACATAATTTAAGTCAACTTTTCTTAAAATTATTTTTGGACAACTCAGTTTAACTTGGACAATATTTTTCTATTAGGCCAGTATTTTTCAACCATTAGTGCCTTCTTCATTTTCTCCCCTCCTCCCTACGTGCACCTCCCCGCCCAACAAATTCCCTTTGTATGTCTGCAAGGCAAGATACCATAGGATACAGTTATATGATTCTAACGCAGTTTGAATATATAATTCTTACATTACAGAAATGTAGAATGAGTAACCTTACTTTGTACAAGAAGGGTACCAGTGATATCCTAAATTTTGAACACATGAATGACAAAATGTATCTAACAGAAATGATGCTTTACCATTAAGGGGAAACAAAGGGGGAAACACACACAATAGATGGGTGGCATATCTTAGAAACTTTAGGAAACACTGAAAAGCTGCATCTAGATTGCAGTCACAATTATAAAAGCAAGTCAAGAACTCTCTAAAATAAAGGGAAAAGGAAAAATCTTTAGTGATCATTAAAAGTGAAAAAGGTTCATTTAATATTGGTGTTAGTTTTTTTACACAGCATCATTTAACACAATCACTAATTTGAAGAAAAAAATTATAATTTACTGTTCACAAAGGCACAGGAAATAATTTCTGCATACCTATAAGACATTTATACTCATTACACTTGCATAGGCTCCATTTCTTTCAAACATTGCCAAAAATACATAGTCTTACAATAAGTGAGGTTTCCCCAATGACACGATTTATTCTGTAGGTGTAGCTATAATACATTTTTAAAAGAGCTTACAAATTCATCTTCAACAAAAAGCAAGGAATCACAAAGACCTAGTACTTACTGAAAATCATTACATAAAGCACTGACTGTAATTGTAAAGAGGGTTTGAAAACCTGACAGCTTATAACCATAAGATAAGGTAGACTTGAAAGAAAAACAAGAAACTTTTCATTTTCCTTTCTTGTCCTTTCCTACAAGATACACAAAATGTCTGTAATGGCCTCAGACAAAGCTCTAAAATAAAAATACAGTGTATGCATACTTCACATGTATATAGGAACCTATCACATACATGTACATATAGCCTTTAGAGGAAGGTTCTCTAAGAGCTGATGCTAAATCAAACTCTATCCCATAAATTAAGTTAAATCACCATATAATATTGCCTGTACATCTCAGTGACTATATTCGGAGAAAGAAAACCTTAGGCTAAGGCCATGACTGAATAAGAACCCCCAATCCCTGAAAATCACCAACCAGCATTTGGTTTCTATAAGAAAAAAACGGAGTCCTAAAAAAAAAACGAATAATCACACATAGGCAACTCAGTTTCTTAAGTTAACCAAGGTAAAACACAACGAGCCAAATCAGACAAAAGTGTGAAATAATGTTGCAAAGAATCCCCTCAAAGGAGACTGACATCAGGAGTGCATTATAAAACATCTCTTGCAGGTAGAAATCTTTCAATGAAAATGAACACACACACACACACACACCCCTGGAAGGCCCACAAAAACCACATGCAAAACCAAAAAGGGTCTTTTCTCCCCCCCCTCCCGCTCCCACCCCCCCTTCGCAGGACAATGGAATCAAGGTTCTAACTGCAAACTTTAAACGTGTAAACCAGAAGCCGGTTTACTGCAACCCTCACTGCAAACCTGCCCCTTATCCCAAACCTAGCGCACCCACGAATACTTATGCCCTGAATACCATCACCAACGTCTTGTTAACCACAAATCAGACCCATCACAAGATTTTTTTTCTCCCAAATACCTGGAGGATCCATTTCAATATAAAATATCAGTTCTGTCGAATAGGGCATCATCACCTCCCTCCAGTCTGCGTCATCGCGGTCCATACTCCACACCGTATTGTACATGGCGCTGTCAGGGGCAGGGCGTCAGGAAATATATAGAAAGCATATAGATCTTTTTTTTTTTTAATCTGCTCTTCTAAAAAAAATCTGAATATATCATCTATGTATATATCTGTAAAAGTTCCACACAAAAATGTACTTCTGGTTTTCCAACGGCCAGGACAAGTCCAGCCAACAGCCAGGACGAGGCCGGGGTCCTCCCTAGTCGCTGCTCTCCCAGCACTCAACAAAAACGCCCCCCAAACTTTCAAGCTACGGTGTTTTATCCTCAAAGCGATACAGAGAGGACTGGGGGGCAGAGGGCAGAAGTGTTTCTAAAAAGAAAAAGGGAAAAGGGGGGGGGGGGAAGGCAGCTTCCCCCGGATCCTTCCCACACGATCTCTCTCCGAAGGGAAAAGCTCCCAGCGCCTTCCGATCTTCCCGCGGAAGCCACTCCGATGTCCTTCGCGGAGGGAGAAGGAAATGCGGGGAAGAAAAAGGAAAAAAAAAAAAAAAAGAATGCGTTGGGAGAACGCTGGAGAAGTGACAAAGAAAAGGATTTTAAAAAGGGGGGGGGGGGTTGGGAATTGCGTTCAAGTTTCGGAGTCCCACTGGTGTGCTGAGAGATTCCCTCAGGGGCTGGGACTCGTAGCTGCTCCCGTGGGGCTCGGAAACCAAGCTGCCGCGGCCTTGAAACGGGGCGTCCCGCGGAAAACGGGGAGTCCGGAGCTGGGCTCGGCTGGGCGCTCCCGCCGGGGGAGAGCAGCCCACCAGCACCGGCGCCCCTCACGCTCTGCCCCGCGCCAGCCACTAGAGTTTCATTTTAACAGCGCGGAGGGGACCTCCTCCCCACACACCCCACCCCACGCCTCCCCGCTGGGGCGCCACCCATCCGTGCGGAGCGGGGGGGGGGCAGGCAGCATCACCGCCGTCCCTCCTGCTGCATCCTACCCCGGTGTACGAGAATTCTCAGGGTCCACAAACACGACGAAGAGGACGTCCTTCACCTTGACTTTTATCTCCCAACCGTTCTGCCCGGCTCCTTTCTTCCATCAGCCATTCTCCCTCTCCCCCTTCTAAGCTTAACCGGATGGTACAGTCCGGGCGCTGGCTGCTCGCCAGGAGTCAGTGCCTGGAGCTGGTGAGCCAAGCTGGGGGGGTGGGGGGGAGGATTGAGGAGAAAGGGAGGGGGTGGAGGGAGTGGAGGCGGGGGGGGGGGGGGGGGTGGCGGGGGGAGGCAAGCTGTTGGTGATTGGCTGCTCCCGGTTGCTGGAGCCGGGAGCCTGCGTCTTTTGTCTGCCTTGCTCCACCGGAGGAGCGGGAGACGGCTGCGCGCCCCTCGCGAGCCAATCAGGAGACAGCCGGTGCCGGCCGGTGAGCCGGCGATTGGTCAGAACCTAGTTACTAAGCGGGACAAAGGCAGAAGAGGGAAAGAAAAGAAGAGGAGGAAGGAGGAAAAAAAGAAAGAAAGAAAGAAAAAGAAATGAAAGAAAGAGCGCAAACGGCGGTTAGTGACAGGCTGGGCGAACACTCGGGGGACTCCAGCTGCCCGGAGACCGGCGAGGTTCCCGCTGAGGCTCTCTCTGCCCGATGGAGTGAGGGCAGGGCGGGGGGGGGGGGACAAGCGGGAAGGGGGGGAGGACGAGAAGACGTCGCTGCCCGGAGACTGGCCGCGGGGGAGGGGAGGGAAGAGGGAAATGGCGGGGGGGGGGGGGCGTGCTGTCACTTGGCTGAGCTCTCTCGTCCTTACGTGGTATCCAGGCAGAGTCCCTTCCCGCCCCCCTCTTCACGGGGCTGAGACTGCTCTCCTCCTCCTCCCTCCCCACCCCGCTGTAAGTTATTAAATACAGCAAAGGTCGCCAAACCCACCTGCAGGACAGTTCCTTCCCTGCGAAGCCCCGTGCCCGCTCGAGACACACACACACACACACACACATACACACACACACTCACTTACCTTTCCAGCCACTACCTGAGCCCCACCTGCATCTGCCCTTGAGCAGTTTTGAAGCATTTCTTAAGGCGGCCTTCTCCTTCCCACCCTAGGACTTCTGAACCCTGAGGTCAGTCCCCTCATTCAGTCAGCCCCTTAATTTCAGTACTCAACTTCCCCTCTCCCCCCTCCAAAAAAAGTCTTGGAATTAAAGTGCGTGTCATTTCTGAGATAAACCCCAGGTGTTGGAATCGCTAAAAGGGCTCTAATTATTTTCCTGACAAACCCCCTTTCTCACACTCAGTCCTTCCCCCACCCAGACTTAAAGCCTGTACCACCTGCTTCTGGATGAAAATATGAACTATTTCCATGCATTTCAGAAACATCTAATTAACTTGCAGGGAAACATTAAATAGTGAAAAGCAGATTTGTGCTTGGAATGGTTATCCTGTCCTACAATACAATCTGAGGAGGCCAAAAATTACTCCATTTCCTCTTTATACAGGAGTAACAAAGCCCATTGTGTTTGAGTTGACAACCTGATTTAAGCCCTAGCAAAACCTACCCTGAGCAGCTCTGCTAATTGATTTGCCTCTGGAAGAGTGGCCACGTCTCATTCTCTACCTCCTATGGTGGATCTGCCTTCCTTAAAGGTAGTGGACTTAAGACCATTCCTGGGAACCGTTAAAATGTAGGCAAACAGGATAAAAAGAAGTGAAAAAAAAATATGGATGAACAAGATTAAGCTAGGAAAGAAAAAAGAAAAGATTTTCCCTGGAAATGCTTTCTTACATTTCTGAAGTCCAAATACAATTCAAAACCTGGATCAACTTGGGACTGGGCTCATTAATTTTAGTCTCCTGAACTGTTCAGGTAGAAGGTCCTAGAAAGTCAACTCTAATTTGTGTCTGGCTTCTCAGCAGTCTTTAATTCATCCTATCTGGGAGCCAGAATAACTCACAGTTGATAACTCAAAAGGCAGAACAATCATTCAATAGCAGGTTGTTTTATTTTTATTCACTGGTGTCCCTGTACATTCCCAAACAAAATGAGGGTGAATAGACAAAGTGCTGGAGAGATAATGGCTTTCAGATTTCTACAGCAGCTTTTGCCTAGATTATATCAGTTACTAGTAGGGTTTCAATTTTTAATATAGAGTCTTTTATACCCAGGCCTTTTCCACACCTAAGAGTTTAGGAAATGGAATGAAAAAATAATACAGTAAGCTGGGCACCCATGGCTCACGCCTATAATCCTAGCTACTCAGAAGGCTGAGATCTGAGGATCACAATTCAAAGCCAGCCTAGGCAGGAAAAGTGTGAAACTCTTATCTCCCATTAACCACCAGAAAGCTGGAAGTGGCACTGTGGCTCATGTAGAGCACTTGCCTTGAGCTGAAGAGCTGTGGGACAGCGCCCAGAGTTCAAGCCCCACGACCAAAAAAAAAAGGAAAAGAAAATACAATATATAATCAAATGCTCAAGACTGACACACGCGGGGCTGGGAAGGTAGCTCAGTGGTAGAGTGTTTGCTTTGCATGCATAAAGCCCTGGGTTCGATTCCTCAGCACCACATAAGCAGAAAAAGCCAGAAGTGGCACTGTGGCTCAAGTGGTAGAGTGCTAGCCTTCAGCCAAAGAGCTGAGGGACAGCACCCAGGCCCAGAATTCAGGCCTCACAACAACAACAAAAAAGATTGACACATGGAATAAAGCGATGGTTTAACCTTGCCACCTAAAAATTGTATGACCTAATTCTCCAACTTACATAGGTCTTTAAATAGGAAACTTCCAAAGAATAACAGTGATGCCAAAGGCCATGATGAGTCAAGGGAACACACACTTCCTTCAGATAGGCTTGAATCCATGCCCTGCCATGTGGAAAGTACCTGTCGGATGACGCTGGTCTTACTTTCGATTAAGAAACTAAAGTAAGGGGGGAAGTGGCGCTGTAGCTCAAGTGGTAGAGCGCTCGCCTTGAGTTGAAGAGCTGAGGGACAACGCCCAGGCCAAGAGTTCAAGCCCCACAACCGACAAAAAAAAAACAGCTATATAAAGTAAGGGGCTGGGAAGGTGGCTCAGTGGTAGAGCGCTTGCCTTGCATGCCTGAGGCCCCGGGTTCGATTCCCCAGGACCACATAAGCAAAAAGAAAAAAAGCCGGAAGTGGTACTGTGGCTCAAGTGGTAGAGCACTAGCCTTGAGCTGAAGAGCTGGGGGACAGCACCCAGGCCCAGAGTTCAGGCCCCATGACCGGACGCAAAAAAAAAAAAAAAAGAAACTAAAGTAAGGGGTTGGGAAGGTGGCTCAGCCATAGAGTGCTTGCCTTACATGCATGAGGCCCTGGGTTCAATTCCTTAGTACCACATAAGCAGAAAAACCTGGAAGTGGAGCTGAGGCTCAAGTGGTAGAAGAGCTGAGGGACAGTGCCCAGGCCCCACGGCCAACAAAAAAGAAAAAAGAAACTAAAGTAAGCCGGGCACCGGTGGCTCATGCCTGTAATCCTAGCTACTCAGGAGGCTGAGATCTGAGGATCACTGTTCAAAACCAGCGGGGACACAAAAGTCTGAGATTCTTATCTTCAATAAAACATTAGAAAAAGAGAAGTGGCCCTGTGGCTCAAGTGGTAGAGCGCTTGCCTTGAGCTTAAGAGCTTAGGGACAGCACCCAAGCCCAGAGTTCAAGGCCCATGACCACAAAAAAAAGGAACAAAAGTAAGGCTCTGATCACTTGTCATCAAGGTGCTTCAGGCTCTTTGGCAAAGGAGGAAAATATCAGCTCTGGTGTCCTGAGCCATTTCCCTGTGTGTGGATTAAATTCAGCTCAAACTTCTGGGTCAAAACCTTCTACTTTAAGAGATGCTTATTTTCCTTTGTGTCTCTCCTTCCTTTTTTTTTTTTTAATTTAAATTGGCCTTAGGTAAATCACACAATTGTCTGCCTTCATTTATGTATCTGTGAAATAGGAGATTGCCTTTGGATTTATGCAAGTAACTTAGCTTATTGTATAACATTGAGAATGAAAAAAAGTCATTTAAGTATTTAGAGTAGTACCTTTCTATAATTCCAAATAGATAAGATAGCCTTTTTTTTTTCCTTTACTTTTTTTTTTTTTTGGGGGGGGGGGGTCCGGTCGTGGGGCCTGAACTCTGGGTCTGGTCACTGTCCCTCAGCTCTTCAGCTCAAGGATAGCACTCTACCACTTGAGCCACAGTGCCACTTCCGGCTTTTTTCTTTTTGCTTATGTGGTGCTGAGGAATCAAACCCAGGGCCTCAGGCATGCAAGGCAAGAGCTCTACCACTGAGCCACCTTCCCAGCCCAAGATAGCCTTTTTTTAAACTCAGGTATGGTTTTATTATGAAACTGTTTGAATATGCTCCATTTCCCCCTCTTTATTTCAGAGATGGATGCAATATGTCTTCTGTGCTCTGAATATAGGGTATGATCTCAGAGTTCTCTGTGCCAGCAGAATCAGCCTGGAACTCATCCAAAAGTTCTTCGTGATTAAAGGTGCCATCTGAGCACACAATATTTTTTTAAAAGCTTGCAAAATGAAAACATACTCTTTTCTCTGAGGTCTCTAGTTTTAACATCAGGACTGACTTTAACCTTTGGGGAGGAATTCTACTGGCTCCAATACCCTTTTTCTCCTCTCATTATCTTCCATTGACCACTTGTCAACATAGCTAAATAAATTCACTTAATAAATGGGATCCCAGAAAGCTACAAATTATCTTTTGCAGATACCAGGCAACCTCAGACTGTTTGATGGAAAAATCTGCCTTTATAGTATAAAAAGTCTGTTAGTGTAAGACATTTTACTTAGGACGTGAGATTCATTTCTTAAGATAACTGCCTAAAAAAAAACATTGTTTTCCTGAACAACATTCCTTATATTTGGCATTATATTTTACTTCCTATCATCTTCCTTTTCTTTCTTTTTTTTTTTTTTTTTGTAGGTCATGGGGCTCGAACTCTGGGCCTGGGCACTGTCCCTCAGCTGTTCAGCTCAAGGCTGGTGTTCTACCAATTGAGCCAGAATGCCACTTCTGGATTTCAGGTGATTATTGGAGATTAGAGTCTCATGGACTTTCCTGTCCAGGCTGGCTTTGAAATGTGATCCTCTG